GCATCAATAATCTTAGAACACCAGAGTTTGATTTTGATGCTGTAACAAAGAAATATGTTGATGATATCAACAATGAAATCACCAAGTTCAAAACTGAATTTACTAATCACATCACCACGTTTTTAAATTTTCGCAGAAACATAAACAAAACCAATAACGAATTTTTTGGAAGTCCGCCATCTGTTGATATTACACTCGATAATATTAACAGAACACAAAACTCAACGATATTATTAGTGGAATTCCTAGTATTGTTGAGAAAACGAGTATGATTAAAATTCCTCACAAGCAGATTAAAAATATTGTCTATACTGTTGCTTCTGGAATGTCTACTTGGTCGCCGCAAAATAACACTCTCAAACATACTGCAGAGGTCACTGGTGTGTATAGATTGTCCGTGTTGAGCAGTGCAAAGTTTAATATATTTACATTATTTCCATGGCGTCACTCGACTGATAATTTCTCTGGAACCGTGTCTATTGTGTTAAACAAAGATGTTGAAGAAACTTTTATGCTAATAGCAGATGACAAAAAATTAACTGCTGCGTCATATTGGTATTGTCTGGAATTTGTGGCTGAAACACCTCAACTAGTTACTTGATCAAGCCTGAGATTATGTGAACAAATATTATAATGAAAAAAAGTATAGTTGATTTCAATCATATTTCAAAAGATATTCCAGAACAGGATGTTGACGCACTAATACAATACTACAAATATTATCATAAAAAACTTTGGTGCGTTAAAAAATGCTACAAATATTATAACAAAATACTTCGAGTAATATCATATCTACCCTTGTTAATGACTAGTTCTGGCATAATTTCAAGTGGTATATCATTAAACCCGTTTTTGTTAATCATATCCGGTGTTGGTGTTTCTCTTACAGCAGCTTGTAAAAAAGTTGAACCTAAAATTTTGATAAAAAAGCACGGCTGCTTAACATCAATTATAACTTACAAAAAACTACTTGATCAAATAAGATCTTACCTACGAGGAGTAAAATATAGTATGGACGATTTAATACGTGAATTTCGTATTATTGACAACATGTTAACAGATATTCTACCCATGAGGATCAGCAAATATGAGAAAGATTATCAAAAGAAGTATGATATAACATAAAATTTTATATAATACCACTTACTTTACTGGAATTCTAATGCGTAATTTAGTCCACAATCGCCACGCTCTGCTAAATCGTAATGATTTGGAAGATGGAGTCTGACATATCATTCTGCTTATTCTAGCAAATCACGTAATTAAATTTTACCTGTTACCTACGTATTTTGCAACAGGTGTTCTATTGTATTTGTTTGGAGGTCTAGAGGGGTTGTTGAGCTCGGATTCTTAACGCAATTATTGATTGCAATAGGTTTTCTATTACGTTACCTAGGTATTTTGTATTTGTTGAGCTCGGATTCTTAACGCAATTATTGATTGCAATAGGTTTTCTATTACGTTACCTAGGTATTTTGTATTTGTTTGGAGGTCTGGAGGGGGTTGTTGAGCTCGGATTCTTACTTTCTCCTACTACTTCAAAACCTGCATTTTCAAAAATAATATCAAGTACACCTCTTTCAGTTTCTTGAACAGCATGAGATTTCGAAAAAGTAGCATGATATTGTACCATCAACCTAATGCTTTTATGTAAAGCAAGTTAATGTGCTATTATCGGTTGAAGTAGTAGGTGAAGTAAGTTTGTCGAGTTAAAGTTTGTAAGGACATTTTGATCATCAAATTTGTAATTGTTATCAAAGCCTGAAAATGCCGTAGCAATTTTTTCTACTTTGATTTTGTAATGAGCACTTTTTTAGAGATATCTCTCAACCTCGACATTATATTCTATAGGATTTTATATTTCTAATTAAAATTATTCTTTAAATAATTTTGTCTAAACTTTGTATATAAGAATTGGTAGTAGGTACATATGTGGTTTATAACCACCACAAACATAAATTGCCATAAATTTTAGCAAACAAAAATCTTCCCTTTGTTCTAGAAACCACAATGTGGTTTTGTAAAGACCAGCGATCCAAAATGGTCTAAAATAAAGAAGAAGAAAAAACAATTTTTACATTTTTGGAAGTGGAGGTGGGGGTCCCTGGGGGTAAAAATCACATAAATAACTACTATTCTCGGGACATAATGATTCCTTCTGATTCAAACGCAGAGACCATATAGGAAATATACTTGTCATCTGAATCATATTGATGGTATAACAAACTAGCTGCTGAAAATTAAAGCCACTAATTCAGTTAAATTTAGTTAGGTTTGGCTTTGACTGTGGGTGCTGCAACGAACGAACAGATGAAAATATAAAAGTCACGCATACAAATCAGCTCCCATTCACCTAGTTTTGGTATCATTGAGTTGCGTTCATCAAGAAATAAATATATATATATATATATATATATATATATATATATATATATATATATATATATATATATATATATATATATATATATATATATATATAATCAGTTTTCATGTAACAGATAAAATAGGGTCGAAGAGATTGCGGCTGTAACAAATCCAACTGCTGAAAGTACAAAAGTGGCTCAAGAGTGCGGAAATGAGATGTTCATCGAGTTCAGATATTAAGCCAACATTTCTGCAACTTGTCAGACAAAAGGAGTGTCAAATTTTGCATTAATTTTTCAAATATTTTCAGTTTGAACAATTTGTCTCCTCTTTTGCGTCTAAAGCAGTCGTAACTGAACAGTCAAAAATGTAATACATGTTTCAAAATAACTTGTTCAAAATATCATTTTTTAAATGTTCGATTAAGCAAGCTAACATCTCAATTTATGCATTTTGTATCGAATATTACTTCTCATTCTCCACACCTGTGACTACATTAAAAAAAAAAAACAGGTAGCACACCTAGGTGTATTTCTCCCTATCATAGAACTGTGCTGTTTTATAGAATGCATTGCCGTATACGCCTAAAAGGTACGATGGTAAACAATGCTTTAGCAACTGATAAAGGTACCATTTCAACTGTAAGGCGATGACGAAGATTGCGAACAATATCTTTATAAAGATTTGAGGAAGATTGCATATTACGACCTTACACACACACACATACATATATATATATATATATATATATATATATATATATATATATATATATATATATATATATATATATAACCTTATCTCCAGTGGTTTGTGGATTTTTTGGGAGCGTTCCATGAAGTAAACCAAGTTATATTAAATTAAAGTTCCCTTTTTCAATACTGACATTGTGTTTTCTGCTTCCTTTTGTTTTTGATGAAATACAAGGTTTAGAATACTTGTTAACAATTTGCCCACAGATAATACATGTAATAAAATATATAATAAATGTTTTTATTTTCATTGTTTTACGTATATTAATTTATAGGTCAAAATAAGCAACAAACCCCTGTGGATGAAAATGTGTGCAAGGTTTATATTCCCTGGCAATACGTCGCACAAAGCGCAGAATGATGTGCCATATCGCTTTAGCAAATTGAATTTGAGTGTGATCAACTAAACAATGAGAACACAATTTCTCTGCGAGAAACTTCTTACTGCCTTTTGTCTCATGACAGGATTTGATACATTGTATTATTCTGAACAAGGGGATAATAGGTCAATTGTTACTTTGACGAATTCACTTTAAATAAAGCTTTAAATAAAAGCACATTTCTGACAAGGTGTTTAAACAGTCCACACACGTAAAACTGTACAATTAAAAAAGATACAACAATTAAACGGAAATATACATAAATATATGTAGCGTTTATCGTTATCTGCACATGAATTATGCAAGAGAGGAAAATACAATTATTAGGACATACATTAACATAATGCTACATACATTAGCATAATGCTACATACATTAACATAATGCTACATACATTAACATAATGCTACAAACATTAGCATATTGCTGCAAAGCTTATCCAGTTGAAAAAATCTTTGATAAGCCTAATAAGCAATAATTTTTATACGCATTGCGACCTACTCTGTCCTTGACCTTTAATCCAAACCCAATAAGTACATAAGATGATTAATCTATCCCAGAACAATTTTAAGTAACGCATCCGTAAACCGAAAGTTTAAAACGCTACCTTTAATAAACGCGCCAAGAGCATAGCATAATAAAGTCTAACTCTTTGTTTGTTTGTTTGCTTGTTTTCGTTATAATTTGGGTAACAACCATTCTGATAAACCAGTAACAGTGTGATCTACCTTGAATACAGGTGTCGTATCCTGTCCTAAATAATGATCCAGACCGCAAAACGTATACGCTTAGCACGTATTTGGCTAGTGAGATCAGCGTGATCTTTTGAGGAATATTTTTACGTTAGTCTCATCTCCTGGCAGTTTGGAGCTGAGAGATTTATTCTTATAAAACACTTTTTGTTTCCGGATATTGCAATTAAAATAGTATGATCTTTTAAAAGTGTTGGGTAAAAAAAAAATCTGAACGCACCTAGAAAAATACGACAGATTCAATTTATAGTACTTCCAGTACTCTGCCTATTCTAAAATGGACAGCACAGTACAATGTTTTCACACTCGAAGGTTTGTGGGGGCGGGGAGGTGTAGGCAATAAAATATTAAACTTACGCAGTGAAACCAATTATAAAATCAAACATACTTTTCATACATCATAAATAAAGGTAAAAAGCTGAGTTTGTATATTTACCTTATTTTAATTGCTTTCAGAAAGACATATCTCCCTATTCTCGCATCTAAGCAACAGTGAGGATGGATAGGTATGTGTGTGTGTGTGTGTGTGTGTGTGTGTGTGTGTGTGTGTGATTTGGATTTTTAACGTAGCTTTAACAACTTTTCAGCCATATCGCTACGATACATGCATTGTGGCAGTTTATAGTGATATCTAACACTGGGGCATCATGCCGCAGACATGCAGCATCGTGCTGACCAGTCCTAATACTAACCTCTTAATGCTGAGTGCCTAGTAAGACAGCTGTTAGGACCATGTCTATGAGTCTTGGTATTCCTTGACCGGGCTTTGAACCCGCGACCTCCCGCATCCGAGGAAGACGCTCTAACCACTACGCCACGTCATATCGAGAAATAATTCCTATTTATTTACAAGTTTGTATGGCCAAAGATAGTTTGGCTTAAGAGTTTTCAAGTGAACATTAGATCTAGTGAAATAGGTAAATGCACAAGTTTGAGTTCGGTGAAATTTGAACTACAATTTAAAGAGCTTGTAAATTTGACAAAGCCTATGTACAATGAATCGGCCAAACGAACTGTATTGGAAACAGTCATAGACTTTAGAAAGCGTTTTGTCTCTCCGTATATGAAATTGCTCTTGCAAAGGAATTTAAAAAATCTGACGCCAATTAAAACCATCTAAACGTTTTACTTGGTTGAAGAAACTGCCGAAAATAAACTGATATGTTTAAAGCATTAGTCCTGTTGGCTTGATGTTCATAACCAAGAGACAATTTTTCAAGCTTAAATTATTCTCTTGGTGATTTTTATATAGCTTTTTTTTCAATTGATAAGGACAGTAATGAATAAATATTTTTTCCAATCTTGCAAACTTAATTGCTTACACAAATCATATTAAACTCAGCGCCTGAAATGGAAATCAAGTATAATTATTACAGTGTTAAATATTCCATGACACCATCAACGTTCAGTATTTGAAATGGTATTTTAAGGTCAATCGTTCAGTGACTTAAACAACATTATGTTAAGCAGTAGATCTTTTTCATTCCAACTTTCAAAGCTATCCTGTTTTCAATGAGGTAAATGTCTTTCCTAAGTTATTTAGCTATCATAGTACCAATGGCAAACATTGCGTCCTACGCTGTACACTGTTCCAATGTTTTGTATAGTAGTAGGAGAAAGTAAGAATCCGAGCTCAACAACCCCCTCCAGACCTCCAAACAAATACAAAATACCTAGGTAACGTAATAGAAAACCTATTGCAATCAATAATTGCGTTAAGAATCCGAGCTCAACAAATACAAAATACCTAGGTAACGTAATAAAACACCTGTTGCAATCAATAATTGCGTTAAGAATCCGAGCTCAACAACCCCTCTAGACCTCCAAACAAATACAATAGAACACCTGTTGCAAAATACCTAGGTAACAGGTAAAATTTAATTACGTGATCTTCCAGAATAAGCAGAATGATATGTCAGACTCAATTTTCCAAATCATTACGATTTAGCAGAGCGTGGCGATTGTGGACTAAATTACGCATTAGAATTCCAGTAAGGTAAGTGGTATTATACCTCATTACCAACTGTTAATGTCTCAACTGTAGATATCAAAAATATTTCATTATCATGGTGATAGAGGCTAAACTTTATTTTACCGCTGACATAACGACGGGACTCAAACAAATCTTTTATTTGTGATTTGTTAAGAGGGTATTTTTTGTCGATAAAATACAACTTTGACCGATCAAGATCAATTGTAAGTTTGGTGTATTTTTGCTGACTAATCGGACAGTGAAAGTTGTTAAATTCCGCTAGCAACTTTTGATACAATTGTTCGAGATAATTAAAATACTCGCTGTCATCAGATCTGATGAGCGAAAGTTTTAACTTGTCACGGGTACCACTAAAGCATATGCCTGATGTTTCATTATTAATTTCAACTGTCAATGGTTTGCCGTCCATCATTAGATATTTGATTTTGCTACTGTAGCTATTTGTTACTGTCAAATTTTCAAACATTATTTTTAAAGTTTAGATAAAATTTTAGTTTGCAAAGATAATGTCAAATATATCTCTATCATCATGACAATACCCAAGTGCAAATGTATCTACCCCATTTTCGCAATAACGTTTATCATCAAAATTGCTCAAACCGCGTTTGATAAGGACATCTGTTTCGAGCTTATGATGATTTGTCCGAATTGACATAGCTCTTATAAAACTAACACCGCCATCAAGCGCGTACTTGTAGTCATCAAATTTTATAAACTTTTTAACAAAATCACGAGGCAGACCTTTTGCTTTTTTTGTTATTTTATTATTGTCTAACAATACGGCATACATTTTACTACGTAATCCGATAAAGTATTTGATAGCGCTCGAGTTCATTTCATCTTTGAACTTACCAATAACCTTTTTATTTGTGTCGTCATGAAATTTACTGTCACGTGGGTAATCAGAAAGATCAAACAGATATCTATTATCATGCATGTCCTGATAGATGTCCTCACATTCGATTTCATATACGAGCGAATCAGTATCAGTAAATAATAATCTACTAGCCGGCCATTGATTTTTAACAAAATTATAATGAAAATCGTACATCAGCCACTTTGATAAATCTAACACTGAAGCTCCAACGTAGATCGGCTTGTTTAGTTTTAGATTTGTTTTTCTTCTTTGTATCGCAACAAGATTCTCATTAAATATTTTCATGCTCACAAAATCATCGTCTGACACAAGTTTGTTTCTGCGATTGACATCATTGACTAGTTCGATATTTACGCGTTTCCTAATATTCTCCATCGTCTTACCAAAAACAGAATTGTTCATCAGTTTGAAAAAGTTTTTCTCAAAATCAGTTTTTGCCGCAGCTCTTCTTGTAGTGTTTGAGTTAATATAACCTCTCATCCACGGCGACTGATTAAATTTTAGTACGCGATGAACTTTTCTCAACACGAGACCAGCATCGACTGCTTGTTTTAAAGCTTTGTAATGCAAAACATAATTACGTTTATGAAGCAAATTTGGTACTAGTTTCTTTACCATGGAATGTTGTCTTGGTAATGCTGACGCTTGTTGTTCTTCTGATAACAAACTATAATCTATAACCATCGATTCCGCACAGAAAGGGTAATCGTTATGCAATTTGTGTAGCGAAGTTGGATAATCGAGATCAACTTCAACGAAATACGAAACATCGTCGGGTATCTTTTTTTCTGTCTCTGATAGAAATTGATCAGCCGTGATCCAATGAAAGCCACCAAGAGGCATTGGTTCTGCCATCGAATACCCGTACAAGTTATTGCAATCTAGATAAACTATATACTTCGAAGGAAGGTCAGGATTATACTCTTTCAAATATTTGTTGTTTGCTTCAGCATATTTCTTCGTTATCACGCTAATACCGCCTCGGATACCTTTTTCAATAAAATTGAACATATCAACATCAGTCAGTAATTCCAACCTTACCTTACTAAACTTTAACAGAGCATCCCATGACAGTCCGGGGGCAGAATAATACCAGCAAGGATCTAGTCCGTAATTATTATAACTCACTTCTCGAAAACTTTCAAAAACATCTGCTAATAATAACACGTCAGTTTTCAAATACAAATCGTGATAATCACCAAAAGTCTCACAATCAAACTCTTTCCAAATATCTTGTGCATACTTGTACTCGTCATCAGTGATATTTTCGTTTTTAAGTTGTGAGTAAAATTTGTCTTTACCAGGTAAAGATGTTTCATCAAATTTACTCCAATCGTCGAGATATTTGTATGGAAAAACTCCTTTTTTAGCTAATAGATTAAATTTATCTCCAAAACAGTCTCTTAGGTTATTAAATTTACTACAACCTTTTACTAACTCATCTAACGAGTCTGCCATAAACTGCAGGCTGTCAATAAAACGCAATTTACCTAGCGTAACTGACATGTACTTTTCAAAATTATTTGGGATGCATTTGATGATGTTATCGAGTTTTAGACGAGATTTTATATCAAGATCACCAAAAGCTTCTACTATAATGTGACTATCATATCCTCGAAAATTGTGAAGAATAACTGGAATAAAATCTGGAGCGTGAAATTTTAAATTACACTGGTCATGAGCCGCTCCACGATACTGTCCGGTCAAATGGCAATGGTCACGTACTTTTTTGTCAGTCCTGACATTGTCAGGGTCAAAAGCTTTTTCACAAATATAACAAATTTTCGCTTGCTCGTGATCAGATTCTTGTTGAGGTGTTAATTTTAACATTGGAGTTACTTTTTTCAAACGATAAGTAATATTATCAACTTCGTTAATCAACTGCTTGAGAAGCCAGACAGCTGGATTTTTACCTCGATATAATTTGATCGGTTTAGATAACCTCGAATCAGCGCAACAAACTACCTTGTACGCTACTCCACATGGAACATGATTTTGAATTTTTCTTGTACTCGATTGGTTAGGATCATTTTCTACGCCAAGTACAGGTTGAAGTAAGCATTCGAAATCGACGTATATGACGAAAGGAATTTTTAGTTTATGATTATGATGGACAAACTGTAACACGCTATCTTTTTTAGATGGCATTGTTATTCTTTGTACGTCACTACAGTACTGCAAATGCTTTTGTAATGTTTCATTGTCTCTACAACCGTGCAAGCAGCGATAACAAAAGAACTTTTTGTTGTTATTTTTATTATACTGTCTTCCAACTAGTCTGTTAAAGTTTTTGATCCAAACGTAATGATTTTTATAAAACAGTAAATTGATAGTCGATTGTGAAGCTTTTTCTGAAATATACCTCGGATAGACATTTTCTTTTTCATCTAATCCGAAAACGTTAATCGAAACATTATTTTGCTTTTCAAACTTTGGTATTTGATTTTCTGCCACTGGAAAGTCAATACCAGCACAATTTAATCTTGACACGTGACTGATATACTTCTCAACACGATCAGCATTTTTTTCTGCTGGAAATAGCGCGGAAAGAACAGCCCATTGGAAACATTTGCTATCGACGTTTTTTATGTTTATACAGCACTGTTTATTTTTTATTTTTGGTGGCAGGTCGATATACGAACTACCGCGTAATGCGTCATATTTCATCGTGTGAAACAAAATTTCCTTGATCATTTCAAACTTCCAACCCGAACCTAATTCGGTAAATTCTTCTATTTTTTTCCAAATTTCTTGGTGTATTTCATTAGATAGTGACAAAAGATCACTACCAAGTAAAACACGTCTAGATTTTGCGTTGATGTAAGGGTCTGCAATTTCCTTGTTAGTAGATTCTTCCGTCACAAGTAGTTTTGAAAATATAACGTGATATTGCACTAACAATCTTAGACCCTTGTGTTTTTCAAGCTCACGTTTTACAGTCGTCTGTAGCA